AGTAGTAGTAGTGGTAGTACGAGTAGTAGTAGCAGTAGTAGCAGTAGTAGTAGGAGTAGTAGCAGTAGTAGCAGTAGTAGTAGTAGTAGTAGTAGTAGTAGCAGTAGTAGCAGTAGTAGTAGGAGTAGTAGCAGTAGTAGCAGTAGTAGTAGTAGTAGTAGTAGTAGCAGTAGCAGTAGTAGTAGTAGTAGTAGTAGTAGTAGTAGTAGTATAGCAGTAGTAGACAAACAAGTGGTTTGGGTAGTAGTCGCTGGTGTGGTTTTTAGCTGCCGTAGTTGTAGCAGTGGCTGTGGTAGTTGTGCTAGCAAGTAGAAATGGCAGTTGCAGTAGCAGTAGCCGTGGCAATGGCGTTAGCGGTGAGGTGCCAGTAGCATTTGCAGCAGTAGCAGTTGCAGCTGCAGTAGCAGTAGTAGTAGGAGTGGGTATGGGAGTAGGAGGCGTAGGAGGGCTAGGAGGAGTAGGAGGAGCAGGAGCAGGAGGAGTAGGAGGAGCAGGAGCAGGAGGAGTAGAAGGAGCAGGACCAGGAGCAGGAGCAGGAGCAGGAGGAGCAGGAGGAGCAGGAGGAGCAGGAGGAGCAGGAGGAGCAGGGCAGGAGGAGCAGGAGGAGCAGGAGGAGCAGGAGGAGCAGGAGGAGCAGCAGGAGCAGGAGGAGCAGGAGGAGTAGGAGGAGCAGGAGGAGCAGGAGGAGCAGGAGGAGCAGGAGGAGTAGGAGGAGTAGGAGTAGGAGGAGTAGGGGTAGGAGGAGTAGGACGAGTAGGAAGAGTGGGAGAGGTGAGGGAGGAGTGGGAGGAGTGGGCAGAGTGGAGGACTGGGAGGACTGGAACGGGTAGGAGGAGCGGGAGGAGTAAGAGTAGGAGCAGTAGGAGGCAGGAGGAGTAGGAGTAGAAGTAGGAGGAGGAGAAGGAGTAGGAGGAGCAGGAGGAGCAGGACGCGTTAGGGCAGGACGACTAGGAATAGGAGGACGAGTAGGAGGAGTAGGAGTAATTAGGAGGAGAGGGTAGTGAGTGTAAGGCAGTAGTCTCAGTAGTAGTCAGTCTTAGCATTAGTAATTCGTAATTGGTCCTGGGTTGTTAGCAGTTCGTCAAGCATGTAGCGCGCGTCTCTAACGGCATAGCATGTTTGCTTGCTGGTGGAAAGGCTGGTGTCTTAGTTCGCTACAGGTCCTTGCCGTGCGAAGCTCAAGCTTAGGCTTGGCAACGCCCTTCCCGGTCCCTTCAGGTCGACGATTGGCATGCTCAGAAACATCGTAGCACGATGGCACATCTCCGACTCCTTCTGACAGAAACGTTCAACACAGTGTCGGTGATGAGTGGCATAATGATGATACAACAACGCTCGGTACCATGGTGTTGATATCAGCCATGGGCCATGCTAATGACGTACATATACAAGTTTGGTTATGACCATCATGATGTAGAGCTTGTGAACTTGCAAGGTTGCGGGTGGCTTAAGTAAAGTTTAAGCTACGTTTTCCGTCCCTGGACCCAACATCCTTCCGGCCTCTGCAAGAGTTGGGAGACGATAAGCCGGACGCCCGTCATGTCAATCGTGTTCCTGCGTTGTTCAGAGACGCTCGATCTCGGCTCTGAGACTGTTGCATCTTTGACTTGAAGTCGCGACCAACAGCCACCTCCGAAATCCCAAAGTGGAAGGCTCGAAGCCCCGGAACCCTGACCCCTACAGCATCCTGCGCGACTCGTTCTGCACAAAGTCAGGGTGAACCTCGGGCGTGTGACATGCATGAAACCTAAAACGGTTTAGGAGTTTAGGATTGGTGGGGAGCTCAACTGGTTCCTGCTGGGTCTCTTGCCCTTTGCGATGGACCAGCACGAAATGTCTCCTGTAGACCCTCGCAGTTTCAGCCTCCTGTCAGGCCTTTCGTTGCCCAGCATGTGAAAGCTGATGCCTGTGATCCTTTATCCTAGCTGCACAAGTACCGACACGAGCCTCACCAGTCGAGTCCATCTTCCAGTGAGGCAAAGTCTACAAACCGAGACTTCAAAACAAAAAAGACCAGCGCGACCAACCCCCCAAACAAATCATCAGCCAGGAGGCCCGGAGATCCGGCGGGGAGTGCTGCAGACCCCAGGTCTGTGCCAGGGCGTCAGGCACGCAGAAGCTTCGGCTTGAAGGTTTAGGCCCTCAGGCTTGGGTTCTTTGGTTCAGGAATCGGGATGAGATTATGTTACGAAAATGATGGTCATCACGAACAGTGGCCACAGGCTTGGCGGCTTTAGGCTCAGGTGTTGAACCAAATTCACGGTGGATGTGGGGGCTTGTGTGGCAGGGCCTTGAAGGTCGAGGTGCCGCAGTCATTGGTATTGGTATGTCTACTGTTGCTGTGTCTGTTCGTGGCATGTTCAATTTGGCTAGCTTGATCAGGAAGTTGTTGGACATGGTAAGGAATAAAATTACTATGGTGACCATGGAGAAGAAGGAGGAGATGATGTTGATGATCATGATGACGACCACCCAAGGTGTCGGTTTTTAGCTCCTGACCGAGCGGACGTAACGCGGACCTCGCGCCCGTGGCGTGCAGAGAGAGAGAGAGAGGATGACGATGATGATGGTGGTGATGATGATGATGATGAGGATGATGAGGATGATGAGGATGATGAGGATGATGAGGATCATGACGATGATGACGATGACGATGACGATGACGATGATGACGATGACGATGATGATAATCACCATCGCCATCGCCATCATCATCAGATTTCGTGGTGTCACGCTTCGGGTGATTGCTTCTTTTTCCAATGTTTTTGTGCACATCGGCTTCTAAGCTTTTATCATATACAGATAGGTAGGCATGCAAGCAGGCCTGCAGGCATGCAGGCAGGGCAGAGAGGCATGTAGGTAGGCAAGGGTGGGTCGGTCGGTGGGTTGGTCGGTCGGTGTCTATGTAGCTTTGTATGTCTGGATGCATGCATGCAAGGAGGGAGGGAGGGCGGGCGGGCGGGAGGGAGGGAGGGAGGGA